ATTATTATTATTATTATTATTATTATTATTATTATTATTATTATTATTATTATTATTATTATTATTATTATCATTATTATTATTATTATTATTATTATTATTATTATTATTAATATTAATATTAATTATTAATTATTATTATTATTATATTATTAGCCGTATGGTAGACCTCTCGGTTATTTCGAGTTTTTCGTATCACCGGATAATCAATACGTATTATTTGGAGTTAATTTTACAAAGGTAAAAACAGACTTATTAACCACATATTAAGTATTTTCGATTTTCAAGTACCGTATTAAACCCATCTTATGACTTTTTATGTAGGGATGGAGACATTCTTATACCGCAAATTATTATATTTTTAATATTTCTTCAAAAACTACTTTTCCTCTCACGCAAGGAATTAATTCAACCCATCAAGCTGTAATTTCTTATGCTACATGGAGTCCTGTTGGTCATGATATTGTAAGATGAATTTCAACCTCTTTAAAAATTCTGGTTAGACTTTTATTTGGATATATAATTTATTTTTGAATGAACTCAAATGTGCCTAAGGCATTTGTCAAAGATAATGATGTATATATATCGTTAGGATTGACTGAGGAACGACGAATAACATATGACGGATCTGATGTTGTTTTTAATGGAATTCCAGATTGGATCTACGAAGGTATTTAATAAATATTAAATTTTTATCATGTACGTATCATTGTTTTTATCATGTGTTACTATTTCTAAAATATCTATTTCTACAGAGGAGGTTCTTTCTGCAAAATCCGCGCTATGGTGGTCTCCTGATGGAAAGCGTATCGCATATCTTCGCTTAAACGAAAGTGAAGTGCCTGAATATCGTTTTCCACTCTATGTTGATGGAATGCATGTCGAACCATATGTAAGAGAGGTTGTTATGAAATATCCAAAACCTGGTTATCCGAATCCTATTGTCACTTTTCATATATACGATACAACAACTCCTTTGATGTCTCAATCGGGTGCTACTGTTTTTACAAATGATTTTCCTTCTGATGATAAAATAATCACTGAAGTTTGTTGGGCTGGTAATGATAGTGTATTGGTTAGAGTCATGAACCGTGTACAGGATATTGCGAGAGTTGTTATAGTTGATGTCGATACTCGTAATGGTACAACAGTTCGAGAGGAAAATGCCGATAAAATGGATGGAGGATGGTTTGAAATTGTATGTATTTTTAGTCATTTGACATCTTTTTTTTTTCTAGTCATTTTTAGTGTCAGATTAATGCTCTTATGATTTTTCTATTCAGACCAGAAGTTGGGTCTTCCTCCAAAAAGGCGGCAGTATCAGTCAAGATTCTTATATCGACGTAGTTGTAAATAATGGATATAATCACCTTGCAATATTTTCTCCATTAGATTCCAGTTCACCACAATACCTCACCAGTGGTAATTGGGAAGTTGTAGATGGAGTTAAAGCTGTAGATCGCAAACGTGAGCTCATGTACGTTTGCACTTATTGGATTAATGTTTTTTTTTTTTTTTATAAAAAAATAATATTAACATGTATCTTGATAACTATTTTCTAGATATTTTTTGAGTACTGAAAAATCCTCGATTGAACGACATTTGTATTCAGTTAGTTTCGATGGAAAAACTAGAACTGCTTTAACTTCGACCGATGAGGTAGCCTATTATTCTGTAGACTTTTCTACAGGCGCTGAATATTATAATCTCAAATATGAAGGCCCTGAAGTTCCATGGCAGAAAGTAATGAAAGTTGGCAATAGCTGTAAGTATTATGTTTAAAAAATTGGTTACACGCAAAAATTTATATTAAACATTATAAATCGCTAAATCACAGTTTTCTTTTAGCATTCGGGATCACCTTGCACGACAACAATGATCTTAAAGAATTACTTCAAAATATTGAATTACCCACAGTAAGGCGGTTTACGGTGGAGAGTGAAGGAAATGGTAAATATTCTTTTTGAAATGTATTCTCATTTTGAACTATGTATAACCAACATCTAATTTCTTATCTAATTATAGAACTTAACGTAATGGAAATCCGACCTCCGGGAATGGATGCAACTGGGCTTGAAAAACATCCTGTTCTCTTCCAAGTATATGAAGGTCCAAATTCGCAATATGTTAATACAAAGTTCTTGATTGATTGGCATACGTTTTTAGCATCTTCACCACGCTTAAAATATGTTATTGTGTATGTTGACACTAGAGGAACTGGATTTAAAGGTCGCGCTTTTCGTTGTAGTGTAAGGAAACATTTGGGAGAGTATGAGTCAACAGATATAATTAATACAGCAAAATATTGGGCTAGTTTACCATACGTTGATTCTGGTAAAATGGCCATTTGGGGTTGGTCATTTGGAGGTTTTGTGACATCCAAAGTTATCGAAATGGACTCTGGTGTGTTTCAAGTAGGAATGGCTGTCGCACCCGTCACTGACTGGAGGTGAGTTATCAATTTGAAATTTATTATGATTGGATTTATCTCATAAATCCTTTTTTTTCTAGGTTCTATGATTCGATTTACACGGAACGCTATATGAAAACCCCTGAATTAAACCCATTAGGTTATCAGCTTAGTGCTATAACCAACATGTCTGGATTCGATCATGCAAAATTCCTTGTAGTGCACGGAACTGGTGATGGTAATTATTTTTATTTTTTCTAGAATTTTTTTCTGGCAATTCATTATTTTAATATAATAACTATTTTTTATGTGTTAAGATAATGGTAAGAAGGATTTGTTTGACGATATCTTTTTCGCATCACGAACGAGATTATTTTTTTTTAACATGTATATTTTTAATTGTATTTAGTTCATTTCCAAAATACAGCAAACTTGATTGATAGATTTACTTTGGCGTCCGTTCATAATTATCGCGTACAATTTTATACTGACAGTGATCACTCAATTATGAAACACAATGCAAATCGAGAGGTATTCATTCAATATTCTTGCAATCAAGAGAAAATAACACTTCTAGCCATAATTAAACTTACATACCCATTTTTTTTTTCCAGCTTTATTATTTACTGACTGAATATCTCTGGCAGAGCTTTGGGTCTTCTGAATCTCTATTTAAAATATAATTTGAAAAAAAAAAACCGATTTTGGTGTGCATTTTTCTTATTTCATCACATAACAAACATTTTTTTTTTATGATTAGACTGAGTTTAATGTATAATATGTTCATTTGTTGGAACATTCGGAGGTCAAATGTTTCAAAAAAAGAAAAAAAATTGAAGCACAAAAATCACATAATAATCAGGAGATTGACATTAGTTATACAAGAGGCAAGATTTGGGTACTCTCTATAATCACGTTACGTTATATATTACTCCTTTATTATACTAGGTTTTGTTATTAAAAATTTTATATTTTAATTATTTTATACAAAAAAAAAAAAAATAAAAAATAATAATAATAAATTGGTCAAACATTTTATACTAAATGTACATAGCAAAGTACTGTTAATGTCAAGAATATTAAGTTTAAAATGCTCGATGTTTGTTTTTTTCTTGGGTATAGATATAATGTAATAAACGGTTTTTATCCGGATATTTGTGTTATCTAAACTAAGAAAACGCTTAAAGTTAGCGTTAGGGTTATTAATATTAAGACGGTAATTGATCTAACTGCTTGATAATATAAAAAACCCGTACTAACAACGACCTTCGCTCTTGAAAAAAAAAAAAGGGAAAATGTCCCTTCTGGCCTACGTAAATTTTATAAATTTGTTAGCAATCCAATAATTCGATTCGAATGAATTTTTTTTTATTTCGTAGACCCAAACACTCATGAACTGTAAATACTGTAGTATCTGATGTCAATATCTCTTTTAAAGATATTTAAGTCGATATAAAAATTTATTTAAAAAATTGCAAAACAAGTTTATTTTATTTTATTACCACTAAATAATCAATAGTTACAATTATATTGTAATTACAAATAATAATAACTTTATTTTATAAAATCAAAATCAATACGCGATAGTGAGAAACGATTCAAAGAATATAAAAGCATTTTTCATCCTCTCCCTGTCGAGTGACCACGTATATCACCGATGCTACTACCGTCGATGTAACCGAGCCTTCTCGGAACTGTCCAGGTTGTGTTAATACATTAACATGAGATCAATTACTTATCTGTTAAACTGGCAGCATAACGAGTAAACGGCGATAATACGGTAAAAATACGGCGAAAATACGCTAAATATACAGCGAAGAACCGTAATAAACAAAATATATACTAAAAATATGTAAAGTATAAATATGTGAAAGTTAGAATATGTGAAATATATAAATATGAAAATAAAATATGAGTGTAAAAGCGAAAATGCATAAAAAGTAAATAAGAAAAGGTAACCTTTATATACCTTTTTTATTGGCATGTTTTGTCGTGCGATTTATATAATTCTTCGTCGAAGCTATCACTGATGATACGAAAAAGAACTAGTAATTAAAACGAATATAAAGAAGTTAATGAAGATATATATAAAAAGTAAAGAATTACTTGTTAAAACTTATAATATTTTCACCCTTTAATGATAGACGTTGCATTTTTGAGATAACGGAATCTAAATTACGTCAATTTTTTTTTCTTTTGGATTCTTTTTTACGCGCGATTCTATAATAAAAAATCTTGTTAACATCAATGATATTAAGTAGTAATATTTTCCCAATAAATAAGAAACGTAATCATATCATTTCTTTTTTTTTTAGAAACTGTTCCCTATTTTAACTTAATGTCACAATGTGTTCATAAATCGTTCACCCTTGCTATAGGAATATATCGTAACAGCACACAAGGACCATAATAATAAGAGCAGGATTCATCGTTCCTCTATAACAAAAGCTCTCGATTCTGAAACTGCGTCTGCATCACAATGTAACCTAAGATATGCAAGCGTAATATATACTGTAATAATAAAGTAATAGAAACACGATTTTACTTATATTGTGCAAGAAGCCTATACTAGACAAACTTTTTATAGAGACAATATTTTTAAAAGCTATTTTGCAGAGCTTATTATGAACAAGGTTATCGGTCAAATTTTTAAATGTTGCCTTTATAAAAAGTTATAGCACTTTAAAGTTAATTAAAATTGAAACGCATAGTAATTATATATAAAACAGTAGTAATCTTTAAAACACATCAACTTTTTATAAAGGTTTTTCAAAAAAATATTTGGCAAATTTATAGAACTAATATTGCTCTACAAAGTTACCGGTCAGTTTTTTAAAAAACCTAGTATAGGCTTCTTGCACCATATATTATTCAACATTTGATTTTTAATTAAAAGTCAAATCGTTTATGAGATGCATTTTTTAATTTGGATAATAACTGTTATATACAACTCGATCTTTATACTATATTTTTTATATTAATGGAAAACACTAATGATTGACGTAAATGCACTTTGCTTCAAGTTGCAGATCTATATTATATTCGTTATTGGCAACAGTAAAGCAAGGTTGGTCATTTAAGTCGCAGAAATCAATTAAAGGTGGAAATTAAACAAAATGAAAGCAGATTTTTAAATACGTCCCCAATATTAGTTCATCTATTGCTAATAGAAAGCTTCCTTATGTTGTCCTTATCTCAAAAAAACTAATTCTATTATGATGTTCCAAGAAAGTTCTTAGTAGTTGAATTTTTTTCCAAAATTAACGTAATGATTTGAATTTTCGCACATGCGCGCGTCCCGAAATAATGCGCTCCTGTGTGTTATTACGATATATAAAAATTTCCAGAAAAAATATTTATTCTTGAAATTTATTGAAATAGATTACTCATCGAATTAACCATCTGCCAATGAAGAAAAAAATCGACTTAAAAATTTTTTTTGAAATATGAACTTTAAAATCTATTGTTTTTTATATTTGGGGGTATTATGGCGCACTATGTATCACTGCGTATGTGTTTTCTTCCTTCGGACATTACCCAAATGAGAAAATACGTCATCCCTACCTTACGAGTTGAATTTGCGCAATTGATTATTATGATTCGGTAATATAACAAGAATAATTTTAATGTATGGTAAAGAAATACACTTCTCGGAAGACCTTTTAAAGATAATTTATAAAATATTACTGGACATTACTGGCACGACGAAAAACTCCTGTATCCACTGTGAAGAGGATATCAATCGGTTAACCGAATCTTGCTCGGTTCGGTTACCCTAATCAGTTCAAACTTAATAAAAATCAAATGATTTAAATCAAGTGTAAATTCTAAATCATGAAATTCTCTAATTATTTGCCTATCCATTGCAACAAGAACTTAAGGAGGCGGTTGAAGATTATTTGAGAGAAAGTTATACTTTTTGCGTAGTTTTAAGAGTAAACAGAGTTGGGACACTTATTATGAAAAAAAATTCTATAAGCAACGCGTTCACACCTTTTTTTTTCATCTTTCTACTTGATGAGATTATGTTCCTGGGAAAATTCTCTAATTTAACATAGCGATAGTTGTAAGTGATCCTTGCTTTCCTATTTAAGAATATGTTGTATCTTACAAATACGTAGTAACGGTAATACAGAATCTCCGTATATATTATATTTTAATTTTGTTTGGCGCAAATTCTGATTGGCTTAGAGATTGGACTTATTAAGAAAATCCCTACCCGGGTATTATTAAGTTACCCGCAATCCCTAGATTGGCTAAAGAAGCTGCTAAAGGGCAATAGAATATCAATTAGCATATGTTAAATGACCTTGGGTATAGTTATAAATAAAAAAAATTTATTTATATAAATTTTTTTTTTTTCTTTCAAATTGCCGTAGTATAGCTTACTTTTATTAGATGTCAGGTCATTTACCATCACTGAGAGACCCAGTTTAGAGATCTACAAATAATGTGACGGTTGACTGCAATTACTTAACCAATCACAACTAGAGTCCGTTATGCACTATAAATTTCAGCGCTTTATTGATTCACGCGTATTTCTAAGTTCTAGAATCGCGTGTAAAAAAATATTC